TCATGCCCACAGCCGGTCCCAAGCCTGGATAAAAGAGGAGGGTTGATGGGCAAGGTTAGCATCCTACCGATTGTAAAAGAAAACAAGGCTCAAAGAACCGATATAAAGCCTCGGAACATAAAAACTCACATTGTGAAATGTGTTTTAAATAATTTTATTGTTTATTTTAATAATTATGAGCAATTGAAAAAAATGCTTACTTTTGGGTTTAATTTGTAATAACTTTTTTGTTTATAATCATTTTTTAATTTAGAAAATCTCATTTTAAAGAGAAGGTATTTTCAAGAAAGTCGTCTGTTGAATGTTTTTATCTAAAATGCATAGTTCTTTTACAATATTAAAATGAATGGAAAAAGTCCCTTTTTTTGCTGAAATTTCATGAAGCAGTAAAAGTTTCGATAACTACTAGATAATACACCCTTTCTATCGACATCCCCCAGATATTCTAGTAAAAAATAGCGCCTAGTAATTTTTTGATTTTTCAAATAATTTTTTGGCTTCGTTTCATGGGATCTTCTTCTTCTTCAAGTGCTCTGTCCGTTACGAATATTGGTAATTAACATGGCAATTCTGATCTTGTTTGCGGCGCTTCTGAATAGTTCGACCGATGTGAGCCCGAACCACTTCCGCAGATTTTGCAGCCACGAGTGTCTTCTCCTGCCTGCCCCTCGCTTACTGTCTATTTTTCCCTGGACAATCAATTGCAGCAAACGGTAATTATCGTGTCTCAATATGTGGCCTAGATATTTAAACTTTCTTTGTTTAATTGTATTCACGATTTCTTTCTCCTTTCCGATTCTTTGGAGTACCTCTATGTTGGTGCCATGTTCGGTCCAGGATATACGAAGAATGCGTCGGTACACCCACATTTCGAATGCTTCTAGTTTTCTCATGAGCGTCTCCGTCAGCGTCCAGGCCTCCACCCCATACAGTAAGATCGGAAAAATGTAGTATTTAACTAGACGTAGTTTTAGGTGAAGAGACAAATCCTTGCTTATGAGGAGCTTTTTCATATTGCTAAATGCTGCTCTAGCTCGTTCTATTCTCGCCTTAATTTCTGTGACCTGGTCAATTAGTATGCTACTTATCCGTAATTGTCGAGCAAGTTGTTGCTTTTTGCTTATCAGCATCCACTTTGTCTTCTTGAAGTTGAGGCTCAGGCCGTATTTCTCACTAACTGAATAAACTCTTTCCATTACCTGTTGTAATTCGTCTATGGTACTGGCAAGGATCACCGTGTCGTCGGCATATCTTAGATTGTTCGTTAACTCGCCGTTTATTTTTATGCTCCCGTTTGCATTTTCCATACATTTGTTAAATATTTCCTCGGAATACATATTAAATAGGAGTGGGGATAATATACACCCCTGACGGACACCTCTTTTGATCTGCACACTTTCAGTGAGTTCGTTGCCATTCAAGGGATAGTAAACTATAAACAACTTATATAATAACTTGTATAATTATTATATTATTGTTTATTTAATATTTAGGTATATTCCTAACTTAGCCTTACTTATTGCAAACACTATGCCTTATTTAATAATGATTTAAAAATACATTTGTATTGGGACCGTGCAAGTTCGGAAGAGCGACATCTGGTGTCGCAAATCAGCAAAATTTACTGCGCTTTCATGTTAGATCGAGGTTACCGGATAACTGTCAAGAACGTAGCCCCAAAAAAGAATAAGAAGAAAAAGTAAGATTAAATGGGTAAATCCCATTTTCTTCAGTAACAGAAGGTGTAAATAAAGAAACGAATATGAAATATGACAATTTGACAATATGAATTTATGAAATCTATAAAATGTGCAGTCAAAAATGCAAGATTTCCCCGTTACTCGCGCACGATCGTTTTTCGTATCACATCCAAGTACTTGCACGTTGCCAATAAGTAAAAATGGTTACTTTCAACTACTCACAAAATTTCATATATTATTAGAGGAAACAAATGAAATTTCAAAGAATGTTTTTTTGCCACCTTATTTGTGTCCACCTAGCGGAGAACACGTACACTACACTTAAAAAAAATTGCTTTACTTATTATCCTCCAGTTGTACATATAGTTTATTATTACTACATATATGCTAGTTACCATCAAAGCTAATATTAAAAAAGCTTTTCTCAAAACATAAAAGTAGAAATTGTAATTTTATCTTGTTAGAGTTAAAAAAATCCTTAATTTATTATTAGTTATTATTATTTTATTATGTATTTTTCCTTAACTACTGTCTTCTTTTTCAGATTGCTGTAATTTTTTGCCTGTTGACTGTACTACCAGCAGTCCTCTGTTCTCCAACTTTTTTTAATTTCAAGAAGAGAGGTAGAGGAAGACGCGGAGGTGGACGCTGCCGAACAGCTTATATTCGTCCACGACCAGTTTATATTCAACCTAGACCAGTTTATGTTCAAGTACAGCCCGTTTATGTTCACCCAAAACCTGTTTATGTTCATCGAAATCGTTGTAACCCGTGTGGCTGATATAAGTTTCGTAGTGATGGTGGAGAGTACTTTCAATGTGAAAGTGGTTAAGGAAGAATAGGGATTAGATAAAATTAATTGTAACATAAATTATAAATTATGAAACAAAATGTTTGGCATTTAATTTTTAATCCAATCGTCAGAGATTTGATCTCTAAAGATGAGAAGAACAAGTTGAATTTTGCTGAAAATGTCTATTTTAGGATCCCAAAAAAGATGCGAATTAGTTTGGCACTCCTACCCCTGGGCTTTCAACTAAAATCGCACAGTCGAGTACTAGAAACTAATTTATTTAGAATTTTTGCCGTGGAATGCAAATTGTAGATTCCCTTGTCGACTAATTCATCAATCTGTCTGCTTTGCAATTTGTAGAAAGCCCAGTGGTGAAAATGTTAATTTAATTTCGGAAATTTTTCAACAATATTTGGACAAATAAGACACCAGTACCAAATAGTTGGAAAGAGTACCTGGTATTTCCGATTAAAAAACCTGGCAGACCAGGACGTGATCCAAGCTATTACCGACCTATCTCCTTATCTTCATGTCTTTTAAAAACATTTGAAAGAATAATTAAAAATAGATTTGAACATTGGCTAGAACACGATGGTATACTTTCAAGTTCCCATTATGGTTTTTGCAAGTCTAGGTCCACTCAAGATGCAACTGCAGCTCTAGTTACTTCAATTCAGCTTAATTTTACATCAAATAAGTCTACGGCAGCTACGTTCCTTGACATTTCTGCTGCTTTTTATATGCCAATTTAGACATTCTTCACCAAAAAATGTTGTATATTGGAATCTCTAGATCACCATAGATTGCCACAGGAGAGTATTTTAAGCCCGATTTTATATATCCTGTACAACGTAGATCTTGAAGTTAGTATACATAATCATACAAAAATTCTTCAATATGCCTAGATGTTTTATATACAGCAGGAAAATTATTAAGTACCTGTGAGACTAATTTGAAAGTCACATTAGAAATCGTAAATCAGTACTATGAAGCAATAGGTTTATCAATTTGTGACACAAAACCGAGGTGTGTTACTTTTCACAAAAACATAGAGTTCCACAAGGCAATCTTCTTCTTCTTCTCGTAGTACTACAAACCGGAGTGGGTCTTGACTGACTGCACAACTTGCTTTCATCTTGAACGGTCGTCCATAATAGTTGAGTTACAACTCAGTCAAAGGTTCTGCATCTACGAAACCAATAATTCTTTCACGCCTATTCTCCACCTGAGGAAAGAATTCCCGTATCAAACGGAGTTTCTCCTCCTCAAGCAGGGGGTAGGGTGTCTTTTCCACTTCGATCTTAATGTGGGAAAATTTAATTTCCCTATAAAAACCTCGCCGAGTTCCAACTCAGTGAACGGTTAGGGTGTCTTTTTCCCCTTCAATCTTAGTGCATAAAAATTTAATTTCCCTATAAATAACTGTATTAAGTATCTTAGTACCTATCTAGACAGAAAATTGTTATGGAAAGATAATATTCATTAAATTGTTAAAAAATCAGAAAACTTAATTAACATTTTATGAGCTTTCTGTAAAACAAATTGGGGAACAGACCCAAATATTGCTTTGATGTTTTACCGTAACATGATCAGGCCGATTTTCGACTATAGCTGTCATTTATTTGGATCAGCAGCCAATACTCATCTAAAGGAACTTGATGTTAAAAAAAAATAAATAAATGCCTGAGATTACGCCTAGATTATTTAAAATCCACTCCAGTCCAAATAATGAAAAATGAAGCGGTGGAACCTCTATTGCATTTACGCCGCCAATTTCTTAGCGACAAATTTACAATCCGAATTATGTCAAAAAATTTTAAATACCTTCAAGATCTTAAAGAGCTATCAGTTTTAGACTTCACCCATAGGTACTGGATATTCTCTATAAAAGCCAAATTCCGCCATACTGCGGTGAAATGGCAAAAACACTATTTTCTAGAAAGGTTAGGATATGTTACTTAAAGTCACATTTACTCCCAAATATGTTTAATATAACTATTAAAGAAAAATGGACAAATTATCAGTACATTTTTACTGATGGGTTAAAAGATGCAAATGGAACGGGCTGTGCAATGTTCCACGAAAATAAAAATTACCATCACCAGTATAGCTTACCCAGTGAATTCTCAATATACACAGCAGAAATGATGGCAATAATGTTTGCTCTTCGGTATGTAGTACAGAATTCGACTAGCAACTATGGTATATTTACTGACAGTAAAAGCGTGGTCGACAGATTTAACAACATTCAAACACTCAAAAATATAAACCACATTGAACTGAAAATTCTTAAAATACTGTATGAAACTGTACAATAAGGATTAAATGTAATAATTACATGGATCAAGAGCCATTCGGTAATAAAAGGCAACGAAATCGTTGACAATTTAGCTAAATCAGCATATATGATTGGAGAAAAAGTAAACAAAAATTCCAGCGACAGATAGTGACACCGTTAGTTTCGTTTTCGTGCAGTTTCGTTTTCGTAGCTTAAAACTGTACTATATTTATAAATATTGTTTTGTTGTTACCTTTAATTCTTCATTTTCCTGATATAAATCCGGTGCTTCCTCAGGTACTAGACCGATACCGTTTAATGAAAAAGACGCAGTTACTCCGCGAGATCTGGCTCTGTTGTCCCACTGATCACCTTGACCACGCAAAACTCTTATAATCTAAAAACATAAAAACTCATTAGTGATAATACGAAACAATTAAGATTTAGTGTTACCTTCGGTCCAAAAACTAGTGCTATTGTCGTACTGGTAGAAAGTTGTGTGCGTATAAATCCCAAAAGGTATTTTATATCTGGTCCAGCTCTTGGAAAAATAAATAAGCTAAAAAGTAAAACATTGCTATTTCAATAATGACAAAAGTTAATTGATATAATTTATTTAGAAAAGCGCTAGAAAAGACACTTAGTCTGGAAACGCCTAATTATCGCTTAAATAAATTGTCCAAATTGTACAAAAACCGGGATAGGCCTATTCTGCAATGTCATTTTGGTTTTTAAAATTCAATACTGGGTATATTGCATTATCATTTTAAATTACTATTTAAATGGGAATAATCCACAATTAAAGGTTTAAAGTAAGTTTATTTACGTTTCAATTTCCACACCGAAAATTGTTTTCAAAACATAGACATTAGTAAATTAAACAATTTTTTTTATTTAGAATTTCCTCATCAACCATTTTAAATGAAGGTTATTAGTGGGTAAACAAATCTTGTTTTTTTTATTACTTGGTGAAAAATTCTAATAATTTAATTTTATCTGACTCATTTATATTGACAATTCAGACATACATTATACATTTTAAAGTAGACTTTAAAATTATATTGCCAATATTGTTGAGTTGCGTTCCTGGGACGACTTTACTTGTAAGATATTTCATTCGATTAAATGAAATCAACTTTAACTTGAGAATATCCGTCAAAAAAAATCATAACATGTAATTCGTCTTTAAAAAGAACACATGCCATGATAACAGTAAAATCTCTTGTTAGTGATTCCGTAGTAAATTATGAGGGAAAAACCAGCAAAAAGAACCTCATAATACTATCCCAACATGGTAAGTATTTGGTTGTGCATTTATGTAGTTTACCTCTAGTAAACACCAAATTCTGATTTTATATGTTTGTTATTTAAAAAACATTAAGCGACAGTTGTCAATCTATCAAATAGACATTTAAATGCAACGGAGAGTTTACTACTGTCAAAGGGTCTAAACTTTGCTGTTTCTCATCCATTCATTCCAAAATTAGACTAATAATAAGAGAATAATAAGCTCAGTGGAGAAAAATATCTCAATGTTTATCAACCCACGATTAGGAAAAATACAGAGTATAAAAAATGACGACTCTAAAATCATCCTACCGGCAGACAAGGAGAATGCAACTGTGATAATGAAAGAAGTCCTGTTGCTTTGAAGTTAACCATAATTTTTGGTCTATTTTTATAGTTTGTGTACTTTTGATGGTAAAGAAAAAACGAAGGCAAGTTTACTATTTCTAATGTTATAAGCGGATGTAGGCGTTGCAAGATGTATTGGAAAATTGATTCTCGCTAAGAAAAGCCGCAAAAAACACAGAATAGTAGAAAGTACCAAGGAAGGAACATTAAGACAACAGGTGGGTAATCTGGGTTCATATATGAAGAAGAATTAGACATTATTAATAGCGTTTTAACATGATATCCACTAAGCGCAATGGATTTGAGAATGTTTGTCAAAAGTTTTTGGACAAAAGTGGTAGAAGTGTATCTAGATTTAAGGAAAATGTCCCTGGAATTGACTGGGTAAATAGCTGTTAAAGAGACATCAAGATATTGCTGGTAAAAGGTTAGCAACTACTATTAAAAAAGCCGAGTAGAAGTATCTCGGACCTGATTAAGAAATACTTTGAAAATTGACAAATGATTTAAAACCTTCCCGTTGAAATATTGTTAATTGTAATGAGTCCAACGTCTTAGAATACCCGGAAAAAAATTGTGCATCTATCGAAGAGGTAGCTACAAAATATTTCGAAAAAATATACAACCATTAAAAATCTGCTACATTTATTATGATTTGTGGATCTGCCTCATGTATACTTCTGTCACCTTACGCCATATACAAGTCGGAAAATTTATGGGGTACTTGGATAAAAAATCGTCCTAAGGGCAGCCCATGTTGCGAAAAGCCATGTTGCTCACTAAAGACACGATATATTTGAACCTCACTTGGTTGGATTGATATGTCAACATTCAGTTTTTGGTTTGTCACTTGTTTCTTACTACATACTATATAGGTGACTCGATGTCATGCTTGCATCCAACTACCAATATTTGTCAGTCATTGGATGTCGCATTCTTCAGGCCCTTAAAAAAAGGAAAACTTTAACATCATGGAAAATGCAAAATTCCAAAACCTCTGGCATTCCGAAAAATGAATTTCCTGTTGAAACACTTAAAAGCATGAATACAGTACCACTTAAAAATCCAGACGCAGAGAAAAGTACTACAAAAAGAAATTTACTTTCTAGTTTGGAAGCATGTAGCATTCAACCGCAATCTAGTTTTAAAAAAGCTATCACAAGAGGCTATTGATCAAATTGAGCTTAGAGGCTCTCTTACTAACTTTTTGAAAGACTTGAGGTACAATTCCAGCTATGAAAAACCTCGATGTAAAAGAAAACTGTTAGCAGAAGAACCAGGTCAAAGTGTTACATCACCTAAACCATCTGAGGAGTCCAGTGACGAGGGTGCAAAGGAAAATCTTTAATTAGATGACAATGATGCCGATATAAACAAAGATAAAAAAGCAAGTTAAATACTTTTGTCCTACATCAGAAAACATCACGAAGGGAAAATTCTTGCTGGAGAAATTTTTGTCTGGTTTTCGGAAAAAAAACGGAATTTAGCTGTAACTATGAGGTAAAAGAAGTTTAAGCAGGAGAAGACATCAAAGTTCAAGGCCTTAAATCAGCAGGATTGAGGAAGATTTTCAAAATGATTGGAAATGACATATCCACTGTTTCCTTCAAGGAAGCTTTACTACCAGATCCGACACTTAAGACGATTTCTGATAGGATACAAAAGTACCATTTTCGCCGAGAAATTAATATAAAAAAATGTTAAATACAATTTTCTTTTTCTTTTTGTTTAAATGTTCTGAATTACATTTTTAGTTCTTAAAAATCTGTTTTTTCTACTATAAATGAAGAATAGTACAATAAAAATAGTGTAATCATTCTCATCACGCAAGATCAATCTCACCCCTTTCTAAAAACTCGAAAATCTGTTTGACCGAATTAGTCAGGCTTGATATTGATCATATTCTATTCTATTAATAAGCACTTGTGTTTCATGCTATAAAATCATCATAATAAATCTCACCCCATTCACGAGTCTAAGATTGGTTACCCTTTTTTATATAAGATAGGGATTTTCTTAACAATTATAACAGAGCTAGATTTCAATAAAGCTAAAATAAGGTGTTGTATTTAAACAACCAAAGTGACTAATGATATCAGAAAAATAAGAAATCTGGCAACGTTACAAAAATCTAATTACCAATCTTCATATTGCAAAATAGGTGTATCCCTTGTTTTGTATAATTTTGACAATCCATTTAAAAGATAATTAGATGTTTCCAGACTTTTGGTCCACTCTGTATAAAACAACGTAAACATAATTCGAATAAATTATAATTTAACCGTTTATATATGCCTCAATCTTATTGATAAGTGAAATAGAAGTACCTATTGTCTCTGACTTAATCAAAATCTCCTCCAAGATTGGCTTCCACGAGAATCAAATAATCTTTGTTAAACCCAGAGTGGTAAACATATTGACATTTTCAAATATCATTTCACTCGAACTACCATGATTAATGGCTTTATTGGTTTTGCGTTCGTTGTCTTAAAATCAACAGAGAACTCTCATCTCAGTATAAATTAGCATAAAGATCATTCATAGCCTGACAGTATACTTGCGATTTTCTGCATCGATTGGTGGTTGATGGGATAACAAGGTAATTTGAAATGAGGTACATCACTCAAGAAGTTTTCGTTGTTTGCAAGTGGGTTTGGTATACAAGGAAGCTCACGATATTTTCAAATTAATTAATAACATTAGAACATGAAGGATTTCGAATACAAGGTTTTTGATAACATATTGTTATGTGGAAAATTCTACCTGGTGTTCTAATAATGGTTTATTTGCGATATCTTTCTGAAATTTCAGTTTAAAGTACTGACTTTTAGTGTGAAAAGTCTAAAGAAGATATGAAAAGAGAAATCGAAGAGACAAAAGAAGACATGATTAAATAAGCTGAAGTATCAAGAGGTCTAGTAAAAAAAAGACATGATCAGATAATGAGAATTCTTGAAAATATCTGCCTAGAATTTGAAAAGACTTTTTAACGGTATATTTAAACCTCCTACATTTGACGGTGAGACTTCCTGGCCATTGTATAGAAGACAATTCAAAGCACAAAATAATGGATGGACATATGAACAGCCCTCATATTAGAACTTCGAGGTAAGGCTGCCGAAATCCTCCAAAACATCCCACAGGACACACAAAAGAAGTCTGAGACCATCGTATCGGCTCTAGAACTAAGTCACGACAGCCAAGTATACCAGAGTTACCTAAAATTCCATATCCAAAGCTCCAACGAATCTACAAGAATACGGATCGGAAGTAGGAAATATGTCACGACTCGCTTGGCCTAAAGTTCCGGAAAGTTCCTATACCAATTCACTATCCAATGTTTCTTTGATGACCTAGACGATCTAGATCTTCAGCAGACATTACGACTAGATAGAGAGTGCTACCAAATATTGAAGGACGATATTGTCGCAGCATTGCAGTATGAAGCCGTGAAGAATATGTTTCGTCATCAACGCAAAGTCCATGAAGTAAGAGGTTCTGTCGAGGTCGAAGAAAGCAATTTAAATACGCTGCCCCAGATATTGGCAGCCCAATTTGAGAAATATCTCGGCCCAATAGCTGATTATTTTAAACAAAAACGTCAAGAGCGTCCGAAGTGTTACAATTGTGGATTGGTAGGCCACCTTCAACGTGATTGAAGATGACGTATACGAGCAGAGGACTGAAAATGGACCGACAGGCCATTCCCACCTCAGCAATGCAGTCCCAGGTTCCTAACACATCCACAATAAGAAGAAACAGAGACACTTTAGATGCCAATGGACTTCCCAATAGTTACCGAGCAGGAATAAGTCACGCAAATGACCACGGCCTCTCGAGAAGACTGTGAGAGGAGTGCAACTGCCAATTCTGCGAGCTCCACGAAGAACAAGGAGGCCAAATTTGACAGTTAAAAACCATAGAGGGCGGAAGTAATAAAGCAGCTCTAACCAAGGAAAATCTCGAGACTGAGCAGAGGAAAGATCCAGATCTAAATCTAGTCCATAAGCAAAAGAAAGATCCAGATGTAAAGCTAATCTATGAGCCGACGAAAGATCCAGATCTAAAGCTAGACTGTGAACAGAAAAAAGATCCAGATCTAAAGATAGTCCGTGAGTGGCTGGACAGCGGAGCTAGGCCACAGTGGCAGGATATTGCCAAATATGGGCAAGCAGTGAAGGGCTATTGGCCTTAGTGGGACTCCTTGTTCGTAAGTTAGTGTGAGATGACGTCATCACTCGTAAATGGGAGAGTTCAGATGGAACAAGAACAGTGCCCCAAGTTGTTCTCCCAAAGTCATGTGCTAAGGATGTACTTGCAGAACTCCATGATCACTCCGTGGGGTATTTTGAGATAAATAGAATTCTGGCCAGAGTCCGTGAGAGTTTTTTATTGAGTCAATTGTCGGCAAGATGGAAGAATGGTGCAAATAATGTAACCTGTGTGCATCTAAGAAGGGCTCCAAAACGAGACTTGGGGGAAAACTCAAACAATACATAACCGGAACTCCATGGGAACGAGTTGTTGTTGTCGTTCTAGGACCATTTCCAGTAAAAACATCAGGAAACAAGTATTTGTGTGTTGCTACGGACTATTTTTGCAAATGGCCATAAGTAGTTACACTAAACAACCAAGAAGCAATCACAGTTGGTGATGCTCTGCTTAAGAATGTCGTTTCTCGATATGGGGTTCCACTTCTGCTTCATTCTGATCAGCCGCGCAATTTCGAATCAAAAGTTTGGAAGACCATGATGGCTTTTCTGGAAATTAAGAAAACCAGAACGACATCGCTTCATCCACAGTCTGATGGCATGCATATGGTTGATGGTTCCATGTAACGGAACCATCAACAACTACCTGTCCCTATTTGTACATAAAAATCAGAGAGACTGGGACAAACTGGTGCCTCTGTTTCTACTAGCCTACCGAAGATCCCAACATGAAGCAACTGGTTACACTCCAACAATGTTATTGACAGGTCGAGAGAAAAATCATCTTCTACATCGTAATCTACCAGACGGAAAAGCAGGAGAGACGCTACCAGAGTATGTCAGCGGCCTAAAATATCGACTAGTGAAGGTCCACGATTTCACCAAGAATAAACTACAACTCGCCACTGACCGGATGAAGGTTAGGTTCGATCAGATATCCACTCCCGTTAGTTTCAAGAAAGGTGATGCTGTTTAGCTCTACCAATCAACCAGAAGGACGTACCTGGTTTGTAGAAAATAAACTACCTTACTTATTATGCGAGTTTAGAAGAGTTTTCGGGGGATGTAAATGTACACTTTATTAGACTCTTCCTTGTTACAAGTTTGGTTCTTTTTCTCTCTACATTTAGTCCTGCTTTTTCTCACACACCACGCTGGTCACTAATTATTGAAAATTTGTACACGTCTGGTACTATTTCATTTTGATAAATAATATAATTAAATTACTATATTTATATGTTAATCAAATCAAATAAAATTTGAAAATGTTAAAATTTAGTATAATCCATATAATAGCTTTATTTGTAAATTAATAAATAATAATTTCAATGGTGTAGATCAAAGGAGAGCAATTATACACACATCAACAAGTTAATCACATATTAAATTAATGACGATACTTACTGAAACGCGATCATCATGATGTTGACAATGGCGATGTTGTAAATTGCATAGCTAATTAATCTAGCCTCGTTATACAGAGATTCTGCATTTCTGACATTGTAGCATACTCTAATGCCCCAAGCCAAAAACAAAACTTCGCCTAAAAATTTAAATAACTATGTTTCATCAGAAATATATATATATATATATATATATATATATATATATATATATATATAAACATAATAATAATAAATATTCTAATGACACTATAAAAACCTATCATAAATATTCTTAATTATATCAAACAATTATATCTCTCCTTCAAGCCAGCCTGCAAGGAAAAATATTGGAAAACAAGGTCCAGTAAGAAGAAGAACATCTTGGTTAAAGAAACTCAGAATCTGGTTCAATACAACATCTGTGCAGTTTCTCCGCTCTGCTGTAGGTAACATAAAGATTGCCATGATGATCGCCAACATTCGTAACGGATAGGCACATCAAGAAGAAGGTATCAAACAAAACACAAGCAACGATAAGCGATGATTTTATTCAATCAATACCGGCGGAGAAGTTTTTAATTTTTTCTATTCAAATTAGACCATCGGATAGACATATTTTGACGTGGATGTGGGAGGTAGCATTCTGATGTTTACAAAAGTTGTGTGCTAACTTCAATTATAATAACTGACTGTCTCTCTCTCTCTCTCTCTCTCTCTCAAATAGGTCGAAAATATTAATAAAAAAATAAAAATCGTCAATTATTATAGAGAAAAAGCTCCAAAAAAGGTAATGGTTCAAACCTTATCATCCTATTGTTTATAATCTCGTCGCAAATGTTGGTTCAAACTTTTTTCTTTTAAAGAAAATATCTTGTTAAGTCTTTTCTTTTTCTTAAGTTCTGTTAAAAAAACGACTTAAATAATAAATTAACAAATGCTTTACTGGAAAGTTAAAACAAGTTATGTCCTAGAACTCAAAAAGAAGAAAAGATTAGCCAAAATACTAGACAACTAATGCAGAAAAGAAGCGAGACGGAAACTAAAGCCAAAGAACTACAAAAATTAAATAAAGAAATATCCAAAGCTGTTAAACAAGACACTCGAAAATACAACTAAGAACAAATTGAACATACCATTGAGAACAATAGAAGTATGAAAGTATTGAGAAAAATACTAAGAACGGGGATAAGGCAGATAATAAAGATTAAATATAGAAATGGTCATCTTACAACCAACAGAGAGGAAACCCTTAAAATAGTTGAGGACTTCTACAAATTACAGTACATACGCCAACACAAAGCAAATAGCAGAGAAGATCAAGGACCAGAAATATTAATAAGGAAAAAGGGCATTGTCAACCAAGGATCAGAACTACTACCGGAAATCGCAATGGACGAAATAAAACTAGCCCTAAGAAAAGCTAAGAATAACAAAGCTCCAGGCGAAGATTGTGTAGTTACTGATGCAATCAAAATCGGAGGCACTAGTCTCACTATACTTAAGAAAATAACAAACCTTTTTAACATGTGCCTTTTGAACAGAAATATACCCGACAAATGGCACAATGCTGAGATAATTCTATTGTACAAAAAACGAGATCCCCCATAAATTAGAAAACTACAGATCTATAAGTCTTCTTAGCCACCTATACAAATAAGAATGGTCTTGAGAAAAAACTTGACTTGAAGTCCTGGAAGCACTACAAGCATGCCGCATTGACTACCGATATACAAGGTTAATTTACAATACATACAAGAACGCAACTATGTCAGTGAAACTATATAAAAACACGGATCATATCCCAATCGGCAGAGGAGTCCGACAGAGTGATACCATATGGCCTAAACTGTTTACCGCAGTACTAGAATATGCTTATAAAAAACTTAACTAGAAAGAGAAAGGCCTGAACATTGACGGTAGAAGATTAAAAAAATTTGAAATTCGCAGACGATATAGTTTTGATCTTAGACAACCTCAAGGAGATATGTACAATGCTACATTAACTTCAGTTAGTGTGTGCCAGTGTGGGTCTTAAAATAATTATCTCCAAAACAAAAATCATGATAAACCTAGTACCTAGCGGAAATATCAATATTGGAGACAACGAAATAGAGCTGGTGGAAAAATACATATATCTTGGACAGGAAATAAAGATTACAAGAGACAACCAAACATGCGAACTACGAAGAAGAATAAACCTAGCATGAGCAGCCTATAGAAAACTCAAAGACATCTTTAAAAGCGATATACCAATTTCCTAAAACGTAAAACATTTGACCAATTTGTGTTGCCTGTGATGACCTATGGTGCCGAATCTTTGACATTGACAGATACAAGTTCTAAAACGCTGAAAATAGCTTAGAGGAAAATGGAAAGGTCAATGCTGAGTATATCGCTTCGTGGCCGAGTTAGAAATGAAGACTTAAGACGAAGAACAGGAGTTACCGATGTAATTTCCCGAGTTGCCACACTAAAATGCAACTGCTCCGAACACGTCGCCCGAATCAGTGATAAAAAGTGGACGAAGAGATTGCTTGAGTGGAGTCCCAGGTTAGACAAAGGAAGTAGAGGAAGAACCCCTACTTGTTGGACTGATCTCAAGAACATGTGAAGAAATTGGATGAAAAGTGCTCAAGACAGAGCACAATGGACAAAAATAAGGGAGGCCTATGTTCAGCCGTAGACGCAAAGGGCTTGGTGATGATGATGAAGTCTCTTCCAACGCCGTTTTTTAGAATTTAATTTAAACTAATAGTAACTGAGATATTCTATTTGTCAGGACAAAACCTGTAGTCTATAGTTTACAATTTTAAAAAATTCCTAAGTCCGCTCAAATAATCCTTTTTTAATTCTATTAAGTGATTAAGATAGCTAGAGTACAATTTTATATGCAACAAATAGTTTTGTTTTATTTTATTATGACATTAAACCTCTAAATGAACAAACAGTTCTAACTCCCCATTTAAAAGAAATTTATTCCAACATAAGTCACTGTCTGTCAATGTGATTGGTCCAAATCAAAACGCCCAACACTACACTTGCTATTAGTCAAATCAATTTGGAACACGTTTTTCACTCGTTTTTATCAGTAAAACAAGTTTTAAATTCTTACATTTTTATTGGTATATCAATAATTTTGGGCATGACTGTGTGTTTACTAGTCAAACCACCAACGAATAGCTGCTGATTGCATTGTTTTTTGAAGGTGTGTGGGTAAAGGTGAAATATTATTTGATAAAACAGTTAACCAATAAAGAAGGAACGTGCCTTCAAAACCTGTAACTTATTTATAGGTAGAAAATAATTAACAATTTTACTATTAAGATGTGCTACAAAACTGTAACTTTGATATTTTTTCATACTCGTATACTCGTATGAAAGATATTACTTCGTTGGTTTACAAAATATATTAAGTAAAAATATGCACGTTTGAACACTTTGAATTAAAATATTTTTATATTAGATTTTCTTTTGAATATACAAGCATTATGATGAATTAGGTATTTTTGGAAACATATCTTTCTTATCGCAGGCTACGAATGGAGCGGCACTCGCACTGAAGTACTGAAGTAAACAGACAGTAAAAACTATAATGACACATCGCGCGACCACACACTTCGCACAACCACACAATACATGTAACAGTAAACATGCCTGTTTATTAATAAAATAAAAAATAGAATAGAATAAAATAAAATAAAATAAAATTTACTATTTTTGATTGGAATAAGTCACAATTTGAATTTAAAATAAATTTATTTTTATATGTTTTATAACATAAAATAAAAAAAAACGTCGAAACGAATCGAATCGAATGATATATCGAATCGCATCGATTATCGAATTGAATCGGATATCGAATCGAATTAATTATTGATTTGAAATGAATTGATTATCGAATCGAATCCAATAGTTTATACAATCGGATTAAATTGAATCAAATATCGAATCGAATCAATTAACGAATCAAATTGAATCGAACCATATTGATTATCGAATCAATCATCAAATCGATTATCGAATCTAATCAAATTAATTATCGAACCGAATTTATTATCACATCAAATCGATTATCGAATCGATTATCGAATTTATTATCGAATCGATTGTCGAATCGACTACCGAATCGATTATCAAATCAAATCGGAATCGAATCAAATCAAATATTGAATCGAATCATATCAAATATCGAATCGAATCCAATCAAATATCGAACCAAATCAAACATCGAATCAAATCGAATCGATTATCAATTTGAATCGAATTAAATATCAAATCTAATCAAGTCGATTATCGAATCAAATTGAATAAATTTATTGAATAGATTATGGAATTGAACGGACGATTAAGTCAAATAGAATCAATTATTGAATCAAATAAAATCGAATTGTAATTGTAATTGAATTGAATTAAATATCGAATCGAATCAAATCAAATATCGAATCGAATCGAATCAAATATTGAACGTAATCAAACATCGAATCAAATCGAATTGATTATCAATTCGAATTGAATTAAATATCGAATATAATCGAATCGATTATCGAATCGATTCTATTAACGAATCGAATTGCATCTGCGTAATTGCACACACACCGTTTTTGGACGGCGAGCATAAAATCGGCCGATATTTCAATCAATCAATCAATATTCTTTATTTCATCTGACTTTTACAAGTATTGAAATGCGTCAAAATACAATCTAAAAAACTATATGGTACATAGGTAGTAAAAAAAAGTAAAAACTATAAGCACAATCATAAAACATAAAATATACACAAAAACATACAAATTGTTAAAAAGATGCCTGCAAGTATTCCTCTAACGAATAGAAAGTGTTTGCCAGAAGTAATTTAGGTAATTTATTATACAAACTAACGCATGTTGGGTAAGGACCCTTGCCCACAACAGTCAAGTGACGAGCAGGGGTCACCAAATCATTTCTATAACGAAAATTGTAGCCACTCATTAAGGAAACATCATTTCTGCAAATAAAATTACATCTATGTGACTTTACATATACAACACAACTGAAAATATACAGCGAAATTACAGTTAAAATATTTAATTGTTTAAAAATTGGTCTACAGGAATCCAAGCGCCTTCTAAACGTCATGGTACGAATAATTTTTTTTTTGAAGAGCAAGCACCTCATTAAT